CAATAGTAATTTTAACAAGATTTTTTTTAAAAATATTATTAATTTTTTATTTTTTGTTAAAAATCTCATTAATAATATTAGTAATTAATTATTAAAATTTCTCCTTTGTAGTCTATAAACTTATTTAATAATTTATACTATTTTATAATTAAGCAAAATTATTGTTATTATAATTTTACTATACTTTAATCCTAACTCTAACTCCAATTTTATTTGTACTCTAATTTTAATAATATTTTAAACATTTTTATAATATTTCAAAATCTTCAGTTGTGTAACTAAGCAAAAATATTTTTTCACAATTTTACCGTATGCTAACTCTCATGCTAACCTAATTTGTATTATATACTTAATTTTGCTATGAGATACAAAGTGCATAAAAGCATTATTTAAATTTTTTTTTATTTAATTTATATATTTAAATAAATTAATTTTAGAAATGTTTTTATGAAAATTTATATAAAATTTAGTTTGTTAGCAAATTTAACTTATAATATATATTATTTTACAAACTGTATAAACCTATGCAAACATAATTTTATATTCACATATTTGTTTTATATACTATATGCTATATAAAAATTTATAAAAAATACTAATTTTGTATTAACAATGTAATATGTATTTGCAATTTGTATATGATAAATTGCTTTTTGACAAGAGTATTACAATTAGTCTTTCAACATTATAAATTATTTATATAAAATTTCTTTTATACAAACTTGTGTTTCAAATTATTTGTATTTTGCTTAAATAAATAAAACTCTCTAGCTGTGCTAATGTATAGTATCTTAAAGGTATAAATAACACAGTATCAAAAGTTTGAGTTATATAGTGTTGAAAACATGATGTTTTCATATTTTTGGATTTGAGATTATCTGTTACTTTAAATATGTTCTTTATAAAAAAATTTTTTAAGAAAATATTGCTTGATAAATATGTTCTCTATATGAGTATGATACTGGGTGAAGTTAACAATTAAATATTGTGTAAAGCTCCGAAAAATTCCGGAAGGAAAATGAACGAACATAAAAGATGAACAAGTTTGGACAAAATTTGAATAAATCGCCAATATTTTCAGAAAAAAATTTAAAAAATGGTAGCAAAAATTTTTTTTATTGAGAACATAAAATTATTATTTTTGAGAACATAAATTAAATAATAGTTTTGTTTTCTGAGAACATAAATTTCCAACCAGATTTCCAACATTGTGTTATATGGAACATTGTTTTTCAATATGTTTAAACACTCATCACATTGACTTTCGTCCATCAAATGGCGCATAAGGTTCTCGAGTCAGGAAGTCGAAAAATTGCAATTCCATTCTGTTAAAGTAAATTTTAAAAGAATTATTTCAACTCTTGTTTTTTTTTTAGATATGTAATCGCAATGCAAATATGATATACTTTATAAGTAAAATACAAAAAATATATTTTTGTTATAATATACTTTCTATATATTCACTTATCGACAAAATATCCAATTTATAATATACAATTTATTAGTAGTGTGAAAATTAAAAAATAATATGTGTCATAAAATGATGCATAGAAATTATACTTTGGTGCCATATACATATAAATTCAGTATTTAACTTAAATTTCTTCCCATATTATTTATTTTATACCGGTTGCAAAACGACTTATGCCGTTTCCTAATTTAGAATGGCATACATCAATTATCAGACGATAATGTAAGAATAAAGTTTTCAAAATAAGGTGGAGATGGAAACTACGTAGAACAAAAGTTTTCGTTAATAACTCTGTTCCCAGCCTTTGCTAGTTCTTCTTTCAAACAATCTTTGTTACAGCAAAGTTCATAACAAGGAGGGGGGATAAGCAGATTAAGACTGAGCATGTCATATGTAAATTGATTTCCATTTTTAGAGGCCAATTTATTGCCAGAGAGAATTAAAACCAATAGAGATGTATTCTTGGTGAGAGAATCTAATAATGCTTTTCCTCCCTCAAAATTAAGACTATTATAACTAATATCTAAAAAAGTCAAAGCACTATTCTTGCAAAGGGCTTCTGCCATTGCCTTTCCTCCTTCAACACCAATTCCATTACCAATAAGGTTCAAATGAGTTATAGTATTATTTTTGCAAAAAGCCTCTGCAAATACTTTTCCACCCTTAGGACCAAGTAGATTGTTTCCGAGATTCAAATGTATCAAATTAATGTTTTTACAAAGAGCTTCAGCGAAAAAATTTGCTCCATTAGGACCAAGTTTATTGATATTAAGATCCAAAGAAGTTAAGGTATTATTTACGTAAAGAGCCTCAGTTAATGCTTTAGCACCTTCTTGGCCAATTTCGTTGCCACTAAGATCTAAGGAAGTTAAGGTATTATTCTTGTAAAGAGGCTTTGCTAATTCTTTTACACCTTCAGAACCAAGGTAATTCCAAGCAAGATTCAAATATGTTAAAGTGCAATTATTATTAAGAAACTTTGCTAATGCCTTCCCACCTTCAAAACCAAGTTGATTGCAAGCAAGATTTAAGGATGTTAAATAGCAATTACTGCAAAGTATCGTTGCTATTGATTGTCCACCTTCAGAACCAAGTTGAATCCCAATAAGGTTCAAAGAAGTTAGAATAGTGTTTCTACGAAGTGTTTCTAATAATTTTTTTGCATCTTCATAAATAAGTACATTATTGGTAATGTCCAAAGAGGTTAAATTCGTATTTGTACAAAGAACTTCCACCAATAATTTTTTCATTCCTTCTGAATAAAAGTTATTGCATTCAAGTTTTATAGAAGTTAGGTTGGTGTTTATCTTAAGGAACTCTATCGTCTCACTATCAATAGTTCCATAAATTTTTAAACTTTTAAGTTTATCACATTTTTGCAAAAACATTTTGATAAACAAAGATTTAAAAGTATTAAGTAATTCAGTAGAAAAAATTGGATAATATAAATTAACACTATATAAATTAAATGAAGAAGGATATGAGTTAAATGATGAAGAATAATATGAGAGAAAAGAAATCCATCTATCGATACTAATAACTAAGCTATAACCATCAATAGAAGTGGTATAACCAGTATAATTAAATAATGGTACTGAAAATTTCGGAAGCTTTATGTTTAATGGAATAAACCATTTTTGATCGTCGATGTTTAACGATAAAAAATACATCATTATAATCCTTTCATCAGAGAAATAATCCAGTGGTTTGCTCCACAAAATCGGTACAGCAATTCTGCACCATTTACGATTTACAAGAAGGCATGAAAATAAGCTTCCGCGATATTTTTTAAGGTCACTGAAGTAATTAAATATTTCATGAAGGCATTCATTTGGAAGATGCAAAATCATTTTGAAAGAAAAGTCTATGATTTACGTACGTACAGTACGTAGCAAATCCCATTAAATATAGGATATTGTACAACCTTCCTTTATAAGGAGTCCATTAAGCCAGGTACACACATCAAATACCTACATACGTACTGCAAAATTGAAGTGGATTTGGAATTTATGTACAGTATAAATTTTTTAGTTTGGGTCGATTTTATTATATGTACACCTTAACTATAATCCTAATTTAATTAGGAGTGTCTAAATCTAATTAAATTGGTTTCCTACTTACAACATGTATCAACTATTATTGAAGTCACAACGTGTTATTACAATATTATACATATCGCTTATTACCGAAATTAAAATTTCAGAATCGGCCGGATAATTATTTGGAAAACGGCTGTAAAACTTTTGTAGTCAGATAATCATCAGTAAAACGGTAAGATAATGTTAATAATAATAATATAATAAAAAATAAAAAATCAATCTGATTCAGATGTTTGGAGAATCTAATTTTATCTAATAATCATGATACATTAATGTGAATCATTTATTGAATAAACTAGTCTTTATTTTTGTATATTTGATTTTTGCTCACATCATTTACTCTAGTTGAAGTGCCTAGAATTAAGCTCATAACAATAAAGCATCATTAATAAATGAGTGACGAAAAAGGAAAACCTGTAAATCATTTCACTTATCGTTATTATGTGAAATGATTTAAGCAGGCAGTATACGCTGTATTATAATTAAAATAATCAGTATAATTAGTATACACGTTATAAGTAGTATAAGCGATATATCACGAATGAAGTGTATAACGTGTCCTATGTAAATGAAAGTATATAATAAAGGCTTCGAGCCCTACAAGAACAGTTCAGTTAGTGCTTATCATAAATTCGCTCCCTGTTTAATTATATTATAAAACCTACGATCATAAACACACCACTCTCCAAATCTAACCGCCTCTTATCGACTAAGCCGTTCGTAGGCTACACATTTGTCAAGCGACTGACTCGCCGTTTCGCTCGGTTGAATATATTAGACAGAAGTTCATCTGATTGGCTAATAAATTTATTTAATTTTACATTATTTATACAGTTTAGAGTACTTTTTAAAGAAACGAAAACCAACCATAATAAAGTAAAAAAAACATAAAGAAGGTTTTATTAGAGCTGTAAGACTCCATAGTCAAAAATACTCATCCATTTAAAAAAAATTGGCTTAGTAATAAGTTGATTTTATCGGATTTTGAAAAGTTATTTCTATACTAACTTTTTTAAACGTACGAGTATTGGATCTTATTTTTTTGGCTATGGAGTCCTATAGCCCTAATGAAATCTTCTATACAGCTTTTTTTATTTCACTATCGTTTTTTTTAAAAAAAAATTGTTAGCCAATCATTTTGGCCTGGATAACTACCCATATAAATAAATTGATTCTTTTACATAACCATTTAGAATAATACTTTCAAATTTTTTTAATAAGTAACGATATTAATTAAAAAAAAAACCCATATTTATTGATAAAAACTAAAAGTGATCAGACTATCAATAATTCAAAAGACTATTTCTATAGTAATATGCTGTTTGATTAACATAATAAATTTATACATTATACAATGAGTGGAATGGAAATTATATAATAATGTTCAAATTTGAATTTATTATAAATCATAATTAAAACTTATAATTATCTCAATAATTATCTTTTTTCATTTCACTAGTCTCTTGTTTAAATTCTTGAACGATGCTTATAACATCAATTACGTTTTCTGCAGACAACGTTTTACCTTTATTCTTAGCCAACAATCGTGCAGCGTGAAGAACATTACGGATCTCACGACCATTCAAATCGTAATTAGCAAATTCATCAGCTTTGAGAGGTAAATCGGCACGCTTAATAAATTTCGACCAAATTTGGCGTCTTCCACTTAGATCGAGTTTGGGGTAATGGAGAAACATGTTAACTCGAGAGCATACCGCATCATCAAAGCTTATAACCCGATTTGTTGTCAGGAAAATGACACCTAAAAATCGAAGATAGGAATTTAATATAGATAACTTAGTAAATTTTTTCAAATACATAAAATAAATAATCAATAATAAATTTATAAGTAAAAATTTGAATACCTTGATAGTATTCTAGCAGACGTAAAAATATTCCAACCATTGTGTTACGAACCAGATCAACTGTGTTACGTTTTTCAAGGTAGATATCTGCTTCGTCGAGTAAAATGACAGCCTTCCATGTATAAGCAATATCAAGAACCTTAACCAACTCTCTTTCAAGACTATT